ACCCACTAAGCGACATTACAAGTATTACAGTGTCAACACTATGAAGTAATCAAGTACTACGGTGTCAACACTGTGAAGTAATCAAGTACTACAGTGTCAACACTGTGAAGTAATCAAGTACTACAGTGTCAACACTGTGAAGTAATCAAGTACTATGGTGTCAACACTGTGAAGTAATCAAGTATTATATGGTGTAAACACTGTGAAGTAACCCAGTACTAGTGTCAACACTGTGAAGTAATCAAGTACTATGGTGTCAACACTGTGAAGTAATCAAGTACTACAGTGTCAACACTGGGAAGTAAGTAATCAAGTACTACAGTGTCAACACAGTGAAGTAAGTAATCAAGTACTACGGTGTCAACACTGTGAAGTAAGTAATCAAGTACTACAGTGTCAACACTGGGAAGTAAGTAATCAAGTACTACAGTGTCAACACAGTGAAGTAAGTAATCAAGTACTACAGTGTCAACACTGTGAAGTAATCAAGTACTACGGTGTCAACACTGTGAAGTAATAAAGTACTAGTGTCAACACTGTGAAGTAATAAAGTACTACAGTGTCAACACTGTGAAGTAATCAAGTACTAAAGTGTCAACACTGTGAAGTAATAAAGTACTTGTGTCAACACTGTGAAGTAATCAAGTACTACAGTGTCAACACTGTGAAGTAATCAAGTTCTATGGTGTCAACACTGTGAAGTAATCAAGTACTATGGTGTCAACATTGTAAAGTAATCAAGTACTACAGTGTCAACACTGTGAAGTAATCAAGTACTAGTGTCAACACTGTGAAGTAATCAAGTACTACGGTGTCAACACTGAAGTTATCAAGTACTACATTGTCAACACTGTGAAGTAATCAAGTACTACAGTGTCAACACAGTGAAGTAAGTAATCAAGTACTACAGTGTCAACACTGTGAAGTAATCAAGTTCTACAGTGTCAACACTGTGAAGTAATCAAGTACTATGGTGTCAACACTGTGAAGTAATCAAGTATTATATGGTGTAAACACTGTGAAGTAACCCAGTACTAGTGTCAACACTGTGAAGTAATCAAGTACTACAGTGTCAACACTGTGAAGTAATCAAGTACTATGGTGTCAACACTGTGAAGTAATCAAGTACTAAAGTGTCAACATGTGAAGTAATCAAGTACTATGGTGTCAACATTGTAAAGTAATCAAGTACTACAGTGTCAACACTGTGAAGTAATCAAGTACTACAGGTCAACACTGTGAAGAATTCAAGTACTACAGTGTCAACACTGTGAAGTAATCAAGTACTACAGTGTCAACACTGTGAAGTAATCAAGTACTAGTGTCAACACTGTGAAGTAATCAAGTACTACGGTGTCAACACTGAAGTTATCAAGTACTACATTGACAACACTGTGAGGTAATCAAGTATTGTGGTGTCAACACTGTGAAGTAAGTAATCAAGTACTACAGTGTCAACACTGGGAAGTAAGTAATCAAGTACTACAGTGTCAACACAGTGAAGTAAGTAATCAAGTACTACAGTGTCAACACTGTGAAGTAATCAAGTACTACGGTGTCAACACAGTGAAGTAAGTAATCAAGTACTAAAGTGTCAACACTGTGAAGTAATCAAGTACTATGGTGTCAACACTGTGTAGTAATCAAGTACTATGGTGTAAACACTGTGAAGTAACCCAGTACTAGTGTCAACACTGTGAAGTAATCAAGTACTAAAGTGTCAACACTGTGAAGTAATAAAGTACTTGTGTCAACACTGTGAAGTAATCAAGTACTACAGTGTCAACACTGTGAAGTAATCAAGTACTATGGTGTCAACACTGTGAAGTAATCAAGTATTATATGGTGTAAACACTGTGAAGTAACCCAGTACTAGTGTCAACACTGTGAAGTAATCAAGTACTATGGTGTCAACACTGTGAAGTAATCAAGTACTACAGTGTCAACACTGGGAAGTAAGTAATCAAGTACTACAGTGTCAACACAGTGAAGTAAGTAATCAAGTACTACGGTGTCAACACTGTGAAGTAAGTAATCAAGTACTACAGTGTCAACACTGGGAAGTAAGTAATCAAGTACTACAGTGTCAACACAGTGAAGTAAGTAATCAAGTACTACAGTGTCAACACTGTGAAGTAATCAAGTACTACGGTGTCAACACTGTGAAGTAATAAAGTACTAGTGTCAACACTGTGAAGTAATAAAGTACTACAGTGTCAACACTGTGAAGTAATCAAGTACTAAAGTGTCAACACTGTGAAGTAATAAAGTACTTGTGTCAACACTGTGAAGTAATCAAGTACTACAGTGTCAACACTGTGAAGTAATCAAGTTATATGGTGTCAACACTGTGAAGTAATCAAGTACTAAAGTGTCAACACTGTGAAGTAATCAAGTACTATGGTGTCAACATTGTAAAGTAATCAAGTACTACAGTGTCAACACTGTGAAGTAATCAAGTACTACAGTGTCAACACTGTGAAGTAATCAAGTACTACGGTGTCAACACTGAAGTTATCAAGTACTACATTGTCAAAACTGTGAAGTAATCAAGTACTACAGTGTCAACACCGCGAGGTAATCAAGTATTGTGGTGTCAACACTGTGAAGTAAGTAATCAAGTACTACAGTGTCAACACTGGGAAGTAAGTAATCAAGTACTACAGTGTCAACACAGTGAAGTAAGTAATCAAGTACTACAGTGTCAACACTGTGAAGTAATCAAGTTCTACAGTGTCAACACTGTGAAGTAATCAAGTATTATGGTGTCAACACTGTGAAGTAATCAAGTATTATATGGTGTAAACACTGTGAAGTAACCCAGTACTAGTGTCAACACTGTGAAGTAATCAAGTACTACAGTGTCAACACTGTGAAGTAATCAAGTACTACGGTGTCAACACTGGGAAGTAATCAAGTACTACAGTGTCAACACTGTGAAGTAATCAAGTACTATGGTGTCAACACTGTGAAGTAATCAAGTATTATATGGTGTAAACACTGTGAAGTAACCCAGTACTAGTGTCAACACTGTGAAGTAATCAAGTACTATGGTGTCAACACTGAAGTAATCAAGTACTACAGTGTCAACACTGTGAAGTAAGTAATCAAGTAATACAGTGTCAACACAGTGAAGTAAGTAATCAAGTAATACAGTGTCAACACAGTGAAGTAAGTAATCAAGTACTACAGTGTCAACACTGTGAAGTAAGTAATCAAGTAATACAGTGTCAACACAGTGAAGTAAGTAATCAAGTACTACGGTGTCAACACTGTGAAGTAAGTACTAAAGTACTACAGTGTCAACACTGTGAAGTAATCAAGTATTACGGTGTCAACACTGTGAAGTAATCAGGTACTGCAGTGTCAACACTGTGAAGTAAGTACTAAAGTACTACAGTGTCAACACTGTGAAGTAATCAAGTATTATGGTGTCAACACTGTGAAGTAATCGAGTACTAAGGTGTCAACACTGTGAAGTAATCAAGTATTATCGTGTCAACATCGTGAAGTAATCAAGAACTGCGGTGTCAACACCGTGAAGTAAGTAATCAGGTACTACCGTGTCAACACTGTGAAGTAACCAAGTACTACAGTGTCAACACTGTGAAGTAGTCAAGTATTATGGTGTCAACACTGTGAAGTAAGTAATCATACACTGATAATCAGTCCCATTACTATTTAAACCAGCTGTGAGTGCAGAAATCATCAGCAAAACTATGATTGTTCAAAGAGTTCATCAATAGACACAACAACTAATGCACTTCACTGTTTGGTAATGCATCGACCTCTACCTCAGGAAACAATAACAATCAGCCAACGACACAACAATGACACAATCAGCCAACAACGACACAATCAGCAACTGATTGGTCTTCTTGATGATCTTTGCAATTCCACTCCTTCATCTAATTGCTTTCATCATGCACATGAAACACATAAGGAAGAAGGGACAGACACCACTAATCATATCCAACTAGTCCACAGTTCAATTTTACGTGAGTGAGTGAGAATGGTTTTATGCCGCTTTTAGCAATATTCCATCAATATCACAGCGGGGCACACAAGAAATGGGCTTCACACATTGTACCCATGTCAGGAATCAAACCTGTGATGAGTGAACACTTCAACCACTAGGCTACCCGTTCAATTTTGACTGGTGGTTCGTGTAAAATAACAATTTTATGAGAAACCAACTTGCCTCTCTGGGTTTTGACCAGTCTCTGACTAAATGTCCTGGGGCAGACTACAAGAGACCAAAACATCTCATTTGCCCTAGATGCCCCCAGTGCAGTGTCAGGAAGTGGAAGCAAAGTGACTTTGAGTCACTTTTGGTAATTATTTACCCTCAATTACCCAAAAGCTAATTGCAAGACCAGAGTAAAATTGAGGGTTGGTTGGTCAAAATGTGTAACTTGACTAACTGTGCGCCTTCGTACCCTAATGACTTTGATCATGGTTTTCCTGTTCATTGACTCAGTCAATATTTACAGGCAAATTAGTATAAAATACATTACTCACTGCATTTAATGAAATACAACCACTCACTTAAAATAATTATGAAAAGGAAAACAAATCATTCACCAATATTCCAAAGAGCATGAAAAAACAATGCCATGTAAACAGCTGGTAAATAGTAAATATTAGGCTTCTTGATAATATTCAATGTGTACATTGCGTGTTGACCGTTGAGTCAATTCATTTGTACCGACCCGATTATCAATAAGTTAACTTTTTTGAAGTAATGCACTCAAAACAATGTCTTTATAGCCAGTTGCGTGTTCGTCAACGGCGAAGTCGTGAAATATGCTTCTGATGTTGTGCAGGTGGTTGTCATCGTCCAGCTAATTTCGAACCAAAAGAAAATTATTAAACCAATGAAAAACAGCACAGATTACAATGAAAACCTTTGTTGTGCGTATGAGACTATATGCGTGTGTGATTTTCTCCTTATCAAGGAAAACAATTACATCACAATGTCATCAAAACAAATTACCTACCTTGTTTTCGCACCGGCATGTTTCCTTCAGCGTGACCTGTGACAGTCAGTGTTTTCACACTGTCTCTGACCGTTAACTGGGTCTTGTAGACTCTAAGATTAATTGATCCGTATGATTAACTGGCTTGCTCAATGCACATGTACCTCCCTGTACGATTAAACGGTGATTCAAAGTACTGTCAACTTGTAAATTACAATGACAAGGGCCAAACTAGGAAATAGGCCGTAATATGGCGGCTGCTGCAAACGAGTTGTCACGTGACTAAAATATCAGGGAGTGATTATTTTCGTATATTTATCAACATTTGTAAATCATTTCTCTCAACAGATTTCGAATATATATGTAGGCGTTAGGGAACATCACGAGGGATATGCTATGACTTGTTTAAAAAAATGCAACAAGAACAGAATACAATGTAGAACTGTGTTTCGATTAATCTTGTTTCCAAACATCACACTGATTATTGCAAGCGTACAACGTTTTCCCGCAATTTCATGTTTACATCGTCAGTGTTTTTAGTTTATTGTAGTTTGGCGTGGAAGATCTTTCTTTTTATTAGTAGATGGAGCTAATTATGGTGGAGCCGTGTGGTTTATATATATTCTGTTGGCAGTGCAGAAAATAATTACTGCAAATTAATTCTAGGTCACTATGACCTAGTTGTCAGTGCGCATGTGTTTATGTTCATGAGAACGGACACTTCCTTCCGCTTAACAACACGTGAAAATGGGAACGTTCAATGTCAAGTTTTCATCAACCTTCAAATGATGGAATTGTGGTAAACGCACACCCCTTCAACCGTATTTCATGCGCCAAATGGGGATATGACAGTGAGAGCAATTTAGTTATTTATACCAGGGAACGAGTGGACGGTACCATTTGGTGGGCTACTAACTGATATTGATAAATTAATCAAAGCTTCAAAAACTAACCTGCAAAAATGCCCGCATTTGTGTTTTACGCGTATAGGCTTATATAGTTGCACTGCCACGATGACTTTGTAAGTATTTCTTCAGTAAACATGGGCGCTAATTACTTAGTGTCCATGGTACACAAGACCCGTGAAAATTCGGGGGAGAATAGGTCTTCAGCAACCCACGCTTGCCGTAAAAGGCGAATATGCTTATCAGAGGCGACTTACGGGATCGGGTGGTCCGGCTCGCTGACTTGGTTGATGCTTGTCAGCGATCCCAATTGCGTGGATCGATGCTCATAATATCAGTCACTGGATTGTCTGGTCCAGACTGGATTATTCACAGACCGCCGTCATATAGCTGGAATATTGCTGAGTGAGGTGTCAAACAACAAACAAACAAACAAAATTTGTTCATAGACTGACAAAATGAATCCTGAATGACTTGAAATAGGCCAGTGTCTAGACTCTGGCCCCCCTTCATATTTTTTTATGACTCCATTTTATTATGATATGATATTATGATATACCCATAATAACACATTGGCCACCATGGCATTCTTTTGGAAGTGATGGATTTCATCACTATCTCAGTCTTCACACAAATTTCCGGTCGTTTCAGAATTTAGTATACTGACAGTATGGTGCAATTAAATTATTGAGTTTGAATAATCTGAGTAACAACTGATGCAATGGGGAAATTATGTTGCATATTCTCTACTGCGTCAAATACACAGGTTTTGTGCGTCAGGGTTGACCAGACATTAAACCAGTGAAGAGAACTGATATTCTAACTGGGTTAGAACTGATCTTCAGCAAGCCATGCTTGTTGTAAGAGGCAATTAACGGGATCTGACTTGGTTGATGTGTGACATCGTATCCTAATTATGTAGATCGATGCTCATGATGTCAATCACTTGACTGTCTGGTCGAGACTCAATTATTTATAGACTGCCATCATATAGCTGGAATATTGCTCAGTGCGGCGTTAAACAGCTTACAAACAAACATACAACAACAAAAACAAAAGCGAATGACTTTTTATGAAGTGGTTTTTCAAATCTTTGCTTAGAGTGGTATCAAATTGGAGTAAAAGATGTAACGAACATGTAATTTGATGTGCACTAGTCAGAAACTGTACAAAAAATGTTTTTCTGATTACAATGAATAGCTGACCGGTCCGATTATAAACAATCATCAATGGTGAAAATTCCTGTAGTTTTCATATGAGGCCTTTAAAGTAATAAAAAGTAAAAACAAAATGCTTCTTGCTAGAAAAATTATAAAAAACATAGTGCCTAATATGTTTGGTGAAATTTATGAGAAGAATTTAGCCCTACTACTCTTAAAATGCATACTGAATGAAAGTTTCTTTCAGATATAACAGACATTATGGAGCCATTACCCTTGACAGAGGAGGGGAAACCCAAAGATAGAAGCATCTACAGGCTGAAGCATATTGAGGATGTTCCTGAAGGCGCGGTGCGGATGACCACAGAGGAAGTCCTCATGCATCACATGAAGGTGATCAGGAACTGGGACAAACCACTAGAAGTGTAAGAGTTTTTTCCCTTTGACTGGTGTAGGTTTTGGCTCCAGACATATACATTGAGATGTCTAGTGGGTACGAACCAGATTGGTTAATGTGTTTGTCTGGCTATCAATATTTTCTTGGTTTTGTTCCCAATTTTTCAGTAAAATGTGTAAAGCAATTTCATGTTGATTGGTGATTGGTTGATGCTATTAAAGGTATGACTTGATTCACAGGTGTGGGACCCGTGAAGATCCGGGGTAGAATAGGTCTTCAGCAACCCATGCTTGCCGTAAAAGGTGACTATGCTTGTCGTAAGAGGCGACAAACGGGATCGGGGGTTCAGGCTTGCTGGCTTGGTTGATGTATGTAATCGATCGCAATTGGGTGGATCGATGCTCATAATATCAATCACTGGATTGTCTTGTCCAGACTCGAATATTTACAGACCGCCGTCATATAGCTGGAATATTGCTGAGTGCGGCGTAAAACAACAAACCAACCAACCAACTGTTACAAGGTGATTTCAAAATTGAAACCCAAATTCACTCAGAAATTGGCCACACTCGGGTACTCAGGACCCACCCGACCCGAGTAGCCCTATCAGCTACCCATGCTTGCCGTAAGGGGGCGGCTAACGGGATCAGGTGGTCAGGTCATTTGTTACGAGGTGATTCCCAAATTGAAACACAGAGGTTAACCCAGAAACATACAGAACTACAAATAAATTGAAAACAGTCTCTATGGCCACATAACATATTGAACAAGGAGACAAGGAGTTTATGTGGAATTTCTATCCATGCTTCTGTTACTAATAGAATTGAAGTACTGCTTTAAGCGTTGTGCTCAACTCACTTGCTTTCATTCCAGATGGCCACTGCGACATGGTACGGCATTAGCTAGCGCCACAGCAGCAGTTGGAGGCTGGATCATCAACGCCCACTACAGACAGAAGTTCCGGCTGCAGAACTATGGCAGAATGGCCAGCTACCTTCCCGCGGTCTGCCTTCCTGCCATGATGACAGCGTTCTTTCATCAGTTTTACGTTCAAAACAATATTCTTGTCGGCAAGTACGACTGCACTGTTTGTATGGAGACAAGATCAGGGGCAGTTAACTCTCTGCTAGGTGGACTTTATCCTTTGCTTCTCTCCCCTGTTTCCTGTATCATCCTGGCAAGGAAATACTACACTGTCCCCGTCCCAAGGATCACAGAGCCCACTCTCATACTGAATCTGATGAGGAAGACGTCGCCAATGGTGGGCGGGCTGTTTCTACTTGTGGCAGGACAGTTTACCTTTGGAATGCTTTTAGCGGAGAGAGAGATAACAAAGTTTCAAAACGTTCTGGTGAAGACGTCAGGTAGTTTACGTAACGATGAGGATGGTTATGATTAGATGAGTGTGTGTGCGTGATTTCAATAAACAGGTTTTACAAAGTCGTCTTTTTTTTGTATGTTTATGTGTTTCAGCTCAGAAACACTTTTCCAGCTAGAAACAGTCTTTTGATTATATTTTGTGTTTGTTCATTGGAGGCTGCAAATTTGAAATCAGATCTGTGACAAACTGTAGTTCATAAGAGTCAGTTTGATTGATTGATTTCAAGCGTGTCAGCAAGAGAACTTCTGGGCGATGAGTTGGTGATGAGGGTGATGGGGACATCATTTCCAAATCAAAGCTTTGGATTAGAGCTGGGACGAGTCCAAATTTACTACTCGGGTACTCACCCCCCTATTATCCGACCCTACCCGGGTACCCACTGTAGGTCTCAGGAGATGTCTCAAAATGTCCGATTGGGAACATTTTTAGCATAGCCCTGGCAAAACGTATTTAGATACACGTATTAAACAATCTGGTCATTCATACACTGAAGTTGAATTAAGTTATATCATTATTCAACCATATGAAAGATCAGAAGGAATAGGTGCACAGTCAGAAAGAAAAGCGAACATTAGTGACTTGTAGTGTAACCATAGAGTTCTAGATAATTTTTGTCATTAACAATATGTCACGTGTCACGTCTGGGTAGTCCTGTGGGTACCCGGGTCCTACTCAGTAACCACCCGACCGGGTACCCGAAATACCCGTCCCAGCCCAGTTTTTGGTCCAGAGTGTTTATCAAAATGGAAGATGGAATACACTGGATGATCAAGGATGGTGCAGGGTTTGACAAATTGTTGGGTTTTTTCAAGAAGCCAACAGACAAATTACTCTCACCATTGAACAAACAATTTCACTGTTTTTCACACACTATTATCACACACTCTTTTCCATTTTCTGTCAATGTTGGGTTAAACAAAAGTTGGAGTCTTAACATTCCATATTTTCCACTATCGCCAATAGGGACACCATGATTTTTGTTAAATATTGAACATCAAGAACTGAAAAAATAGATGACATATAAGTGAGTTGTGTACTGCGATGAAGAGGATTTCTGGTTTGTCGTGCTGTGTCCGATTAATGTCAGCAGGGCTCCTGATAAAAAAATAGCATTGCCATTGCATATACATGTTATCATTCACATTGGGTATTGATAGTTTTCTTTGGGTATTCAATATATTTTTACTCTCTTGGGTCTGTTCTACTGGGTATTTTCATGCCAATGACTAGACATCATTTTCTGCTCAAATGCTGTTTCAGGTAACTCCTTTATTCTTCTGTTTTTGTGCAGCCCTACGTGTGTTATATTTGATCAGTATATAGGGATCTGTTAAGAATATACATAAATTTACTACCCGAGTATACCTACCACCCTATTACCGGAGCCAACCGGATACAGGTTGCAGATATCTAGAGATAGGTTGGTTGTTAGGTTGGTTGTTTGGTTGGTTTTTCAATGTCGCACTCAGCAATATTCCAGCTATATGACGGCGGTCTGTAAATAATCGAGCCTGAATGTTATGATGAAACTATTGTACACATTTTTTGGGAATGTGAACTTGTACAAGTATTTTGGAAAACCTTCTTAGATTGGATAAATAAATGTAGCCATATACATCATATGAAATTAAGTGCTGAACTTGTTTTATTTGGTGTTAAAGAAAATATTGTTACTGACAAAGTTTTTGATCTTCTTATTTTAATATCTAAATCTTTTATATATTTTTGCAGATTCAAAAAAACAAATCTTTGCTTCGCAATATTTCAAAAAGATGTTAGTCTGAGATACAAAATTGAGAAGAATATAGCCTTTACAAATGGTAATGTAGCTACATTTTATAAATCATGGATCTTTTATCACATATTGTTTGAAGAAGAAGAACAGCAATAACATATGTATCTCTTTCTCATATTTGTTTCTTGCCAGGATCAGTGTTTGAATAATATTTTGAATGCTTGACTGTGTGTATGTTTTGTTATATTTCTTAAAAATCACCTTGGCACCATTTCCAATACTTGTATTTAATTTTCCCCAAATGTATACATACATTGTCTTCAAAATGTGAGGGTGACCATTGCCCTGGATGGCCATCCTCCTCATGTAACGGGGAAAAGGGGAAATAAAATGCTAAAAAATTATTTTTTTTTAAATCGAGCCTGGACAAAACAATCCAGTGATTAATATCATGAGTATTGATCCACGCAATTGGGATACGATGACATGCATCAACCAAGTCAGGAGCCTGACCACCCGATTCCGTTAGTTGCCTCTTACGTCAAGCATGGGTTGCTGAAGACCTATTCTACCCCGGATCTTCACAGGTCTAGAGATAGGTACAAACTGTCCGATTTGGATACGTTTGACCTAGCCCTGGCAAAATGTATTTAGATACATGTGTAAAACGATCTGGTCATGCATACACTGAAGTTTACTTCATGACGTTTTATCTTTATTCAAACATAAAAGTCAGAAGGAATAGGTGCATCGCAATAAAGAAATGGGAACATTAGTGACTTATAGTGTAACCATAGAGTTTTAGATAATTCTTGTCATTAAACAATATATCACGTGACTAACGGTTCCGGGTAATTCATTGGAGACCTGGGTCCTACTCGGGATCCACCCGTACCCAAGTTTCCGTCACAGCCCTAATATACAGTCGTGTTTTTTTATCAACTCTGTACTTCTGCATATTGTTTAGAGCGGCAAAAGGTATGGGATTGGATATAACTATGGCCTTATTTAGAGAACATTTGATGCAATTCTACCGGGAAATTCGTTATTTCTTGCAAATAAAACATTTTTACATAACAAGCGTCAAAAAATAGATTTCAGGGTGGTCAGGCCAACTGACTTGGTTCATGCATGTCATCGTATCCCACATGTGTAGATCAATGCTCATGACGTTAATCACTTTATTGTCTGGTCCAGACTCAATTATTTACCCACTGCCACCACAATGCTGGAAAAATGCTGAGTGTCGCAACAAACACTTCGAGCTATCACCCCACATAAAGCTGACATGTCGTGATGTAACCAAAACAATGTTCAAAGTGGTGTCAAAAAAACTCACTCATTCACAAGGGACAGTCTAATCCATACTTCCGAATTTCAAGTATTTCTATATATTTCTCTTTTCAACCCAACACAGAACTAATGCAACCTGCCCATAGAGGGCGCTGGTATGTTTGTTTCTCAAACATTGGTAGGTTTCTCGGCAGGATAAAGCCAACGGATAAAAACGATATCCGTTGGGGTCATATGCGGATAGAGATGCAAATATCAAAGGTCAAGTAGGGACTACTGTTTATAAACAAACATGGCGTCGCCCTCGTCAATCGGCGATCGAGTCAGAATTAACCATCGGGAATCTGGATAAACTACAGGGATAATTGCTATCATTATCAAAAGTTCAGTCTAATACACTGAAAATCAGTGTCTAATTATGACGTAGCTAAGGCATTTTATAAGTTTTGGCAACTTTGGAGATATAAATTTCGAAAGAATTTTGCGAGGGCACTAGGCCTAGCCGAGCAGGATCAGTAGCCATATCTGTGCTTGTAGACGTTTGCGGCTTGAAACCTTCTCCACAAATTAAAATAGTTGGATTCGGCCGAAATATGTTTGAATTGTTACCTTGTTTCCTTTTGTCGCTGTGTGTACATCACATCGTAACGTTATGACAGGACAGGCCTCTGAACGTGGCCATGACGTCTCATAGACTAGGGTTAGAGTAGCTTCCCTTTGACAAAGGGCAGTTACTCTAGTCTACAGTTACTCTAGCGGACAGACCGATGGATTGCCGCGAAATGCAAGTAAAACAATTGTTTTGCATATATCATATGTTGCTTCGCCACTATATAAGAAACAGATTTCAGTTGGAACTATATTGGCCACTGTCACTGTCCGACTGACACATCACTTACCCTCACACTCCGTCGCAGTGGTGACTCAGCATAACACCACTGCCACAGGCTAATTTGCATATCACGTGACCGGACTTTTCTCTTGTTTGTAAACAAACGCGCTTTTTCAGAAATCAGTATAGAACGGACTAATGCAAGTATTTGGGGGCGCTTTACATATTGTTTTGCATAACTGTATAGATATGCTACTACAACTGCGACAGTGAGTTGCATGACAATATATATTTATGCATCAAAGTGACCGTGTCGCTAGCTCTCCGTTGGGCTTCGATGACAGCACGTGGAGCCGTACAACCAATGTAAACATAGGATAACTACGCAAAACAAGTAGATTTTTACGTATTTGCATACTTTCTCAATGAAAGTTAACCATTCTTTGACATTTGTTTATGAAAATGTGTAGACTTGTCAAACATGAAACGGATGAAAAGCATATGCAATATCTTGAATGGACTGTGAAAGATGTGACGAATCGTCACATGGCGCTGGCCTGTGGCAGAGGTACTATGCTAGCTGGCTGCCGGCCGCATGGAACTCTGGGTAGGAGAGTGCACTTACCCTGTGACGTAATAAATATTAATGCGCGCATTCCAGGAAAACTCGCAATGTTTAGGTAAGGTTTGTGAGAGAGGGAAAGCGATTTCCATGCACAGAATTAAAGAATGACATTATTTGATAAAGAGGTTATCACGCTTGTGTGTTTGGGGATGGTAAATATCCTGATGGTAAAAGGCTCGCTAAATACAATGTTTATTCCTAATGCAGGATATTTACCATCCCCAAACACACTCGCGTGATAACCTCTATTTATTTTATTTTTAGCGTATGAACTTGTTAGGATATAACATACAAAAGTTTCAATAAGAACCTTTATCATATAATGGGTAGATTTCTCGGCAGGATAAAAAAACAGCGGATAAAAACGATAGAAATGCAAATATCAAAGGTCAAATAGGGACTACTTTCAGTGTTGATAAACAAATATGGCGTCGCCCTTGTCATTCAACGATCGAGTCAGAATTAACCTGGAGAAACTACTTAGATAATTGCTATCATTATCAAATGAATAGTCTAATATACTGAAAATCAGTGTCCTACGTAGCTAAGTCATTTTACAAGTTTTGGCAAACGATTCTGAGAGGGCACTACTAGCCAAGCGGGATCAGTTGCCATATCTGTGACCTCTTCGGCTTGGAACCTTTCGGAAATTCCCTTGCTTAAAACAGTCGGATTTGGCCGAAATATGTCCGAATTGTTACCCTGTTACGTTTTGTCGCTGTGTGTACATCTGAATGCACTTCGTAACGTTATAACAAGACAGGTCGACTGTCGACAACTTCTGACTGTGGTCGTGACGTCTCGTAGACAAGGGTTAGAGTAGTTTCCCTTTGGTAAAGGGTAGTTACTCTAGCGGACAGACCGATGGATTGCCGCGAAATGCAAGGAGAAACAATTTGTGTAGGCAATTGTTGTTTTTCATATATGTAGTTACGCCACTGTATAAGAACCGGGTTTCTGTTGCAACTCTTTCGGATAAGGTCACTGTGCGACTGACACATCAGTTACCTTCTGACGTAATATATATTAATGCGCACATTCCAGGAAAACTTACAATGTTTAGGTAATGTTTGGGCGAGATGGGAAGAGATTTTCGAGCACAGAATTGATGAATGACATGAAATGATAAAGAGGTTAGCACGCTTTTGTGTTTGGGGATGGTAAATATCCTGTATTAGGAATAAACATTTAGCGATCCTTGGTAAATTCAACAGAAATTATCAAAGTTTCCGTCCACCGTGACGCCATGACTGACGCGAAAACACTCACAACGACAACGGTATTTATCGGAATCTCTGACTATTTCTCTTGGTTTCAGTGAAAAAACATAACAACAAATAACAGTACACAGATTTTCAGAATGTTTCTGATTACTTACATGTCATAACACCAAATAACAGTACACAGATTTTCAGAATGTTTCTGATTACTTACATGTCACATTTATGTATCTACGGTCCCTGAATCAACGAAAGTCCCCTCGTAAAATCCCGCCTTCTGTTGTCAGTAAACACGCCATTTTATAAAAGTCGGTCACCGGTAGTGATGTTATACGTTAACTTTGTTGTACATATTTGGTTATTTCTTTGAGGTGAAGGTCCTTGAATGAGAGTACACACGAACATTGTATCCCGCTGTTTACATTTTCAATTATGGTGTAGATTTTGCCTATATTTTATACATTTTTACACACAATTAATTTCACTATGGATATTTATCAATGTTCAGTATGATATACGTAGATAGAGGCCATAAAATGTATGAACCTTTGGTAATCTGTTTGTTTTAATATTGTTTACATAAGAAAAGTTTATAGTGTAGTATTCGATATTTCTTTCCTTTAGTCAAGTGTTGGAAGGTGAGATGTGACTGCAACATGTACTTATTCCTTTGAAGTGAAATAGTCAGTGTTGTAATTTCATATAAAGAGGTTAATGAATAGCCGTTAAAACTAAATCTGAATACATTAATTTAACAAGATGGATATTTTTTTGTTAAAATATATGCACAGATTTTTAGAAGGAGTGTCTTGGTCTTGGAATTGTTTTTTATGTCGTTTGATAGACAGAACGGTTATGTCTAACGATTCGCCAGGTACGCGTTAGTCACAAACGAGAAGAATGTATATATGTATGCGTGCGTGCGTGCGTACGTACGTACGTACGTACGTATGTATGTATGTATGTATGTATGTATATAAAATATATATGTACCCCGTTGGTCGAACCTTAAGCGATTATCGTGATACTTATATACCAAAGAGCTTTCTTCGCATCCTTTTATTGTATCATTCTAAGACGAGATAAAGATAATTAATCTCATAATAATGAACAAAGACATGTCCCGTATTGAAGGTAATTTTGTTTGTTTCTATATATTTTGGGGGGGTATTTGATTACGTAACAGTTATGCCGTAGGTGCGTGTCTTGTCCAAGTAAGATACACAGTAAACTATCTAATGGTCCATTCAAGACATTATTTTCATGGTAAAAGCAGTCATTTTATGTTGTGTCGAAAAAGCGTAAAAATCCGTTTTACAGATCAAGATTTGCCTTACCATGAACGAAAATAAGTGGAGATATATGTTTATCAAAATACCTATGTGGTCTTTCTCCTACGTTGTCAAGACCCCTGAAGATCCGGGGTAGAATTGGTCTTCAGCAACCCATGCTTGCTGTAAAAGGTGACTATGTTTGTCGTAAGAGGCGACTACGTGATCGGGTGTATAATATGGTGTCATTTTTTCAGTATTAGTCAAATTACAATTGCACAATCATAGAGGAAAATCTGTTTTCGTCATTTATGGTAGGATATTTTTTTGGATGGAATGTTTAACGTTATACATATGCATATAAATCCAGTTGATTTGTTCGCTCACAGTTTCCGTAAAGCTGCTTGATAAAAAAAAATCGTACAACAGTACTTTTATCGGTGTAGGGTAAAAAGGGGAGAAATTTGCTGTTTTTCACCGCAGAATACATTCTCAGACAACACTTAGCAGTGTCTTTATTTCAAACCGGTTTAATATTTACAGTTAAATTGACGCCATCAGATAGGAAATTTAATATTCTCAGCGTAATTATATCGCCGGAGGTACATGGCTTTACTTTTCAGATCTTAGGAAAATGTGCGTCAGAAAGAAATAATCGGCATCACGCGGGATATACGTGTACCATTATGCAACCGGTTGACTTTTAAAGTACTGGCGGAAATTCTAGAAAACTGCTTTTTGTCTGTTAAAAAGGATTTATTTTTTCACAGACTGTTGTTATTGAAATATCGAGTGACCGATCGCCCTACCTGTGGTTTGAAGTATTTCAGTCACAAGGAGTCCTATTGACAAGTTTACAGGAGACAAATTCGAACGAAAACAGGAAGATCACATTTATTTCAAGTCCAATGATGGCAGTCTGAAATGGACTATAGAAATATGCGCACGTAACTCCGTTATAATGATAATAATGTAGTCTTCATAAAACATCTAATCCACGCACAAAAATCATTTTGAGAAGATTCTAGATGTGCATCTTCTAAAATGACAAAATGACGCTGCGTTTTTGTGTGTTAACATTGCTCCCATGATTCATGTCACATTACACTTGCATAGCCATAACCATTGGTACGCGATATGGAGTCTGTACTTGGAAATGTATACAAGTTCTTTACACTTTAGAAAGATAGAGGGAAACCATTTATTAATTTAGATAGGGTGAATTACCGAACTGCCCAAGCCATGGGGTTTTCAATACATACCATCATGTCTACGGTATGATATGGAGAAAAAAAACAGGTATAAAGTGGTCTCTAAAACATAAATGGGACGTAAAAAGATATTAGACAGCGTTGATACAGGGTGATTAGAGGTATAGTGTACACGCTTTACGAGAAGAAGGTAACCCTGACTTGTAGTAAAATTTGGGAGGAATTAAAGATACTATTAATGTTAACTGCACTAACTAATGCTCTCCAAGTGTTGGGATTTCGATACACTGCGCGCGGCTATGGAAAATATTCCATCCTGTCTATGAGGTCACATTATCTCCGAACCATTCATAACTATCACAGTCAGGGCGTCTATTGCCCATTTTAAACAACGTCAGTGTCATTGTCATGGATAACGCCAGTTAATATAACGTCCGGGAATCAGATACTGTCGCCCCAACCATGAGTAGTCTGAAGGCTGCGTATACAGGAACATATGACATTGTCGACTTCAGGCCATATGAAACGAAAGTTCAACTCATGGAGAAAATTCGGCTTAATAAGAAACCAGTAAAGTACAACTTGTGTTGGCGGGACAGCACGGTTACGTTGTACGCCATTTAAACATTGTGAGCTGAACCCTGTTGTGCCCATCTTGGCTAAGTGTACAGGGTTCGTGGCAAGACATAACACAACATTCAAAAGTACAGATTCATATACGTCATCAGCGGAGATAGATTCTACCTCAAGAAACCACCTGTAGAACAACAAATACTTCCTGATTCCAAAACCTCAACCTTCCAATACTCATCCCGTTTCTTAGCTCTGAACTATTCCATCATGTTTCCAAGCAAATATAATGCAGTACATATCCTAAATTACTACCCTATCAACGCATGTCAATCAACTACAATAACTGCAATATTTTGAGACCACCCCCAACTCAGTGACATTTGCACCTGGGAGAATGCACGGGACTGTGTGAGGTCATCACCTCAGGTTATATAGACTATTTCATACATGCATGACAACACACGAATATTTTCCAAGTTGATCATCATTTTACCTGTAAAAGTACATTTTAAGGGTAATCACAGTGTCAGTAAGGACAGGCTAGATAAGGGCATTTTTGCGTTATTTTGATATATGCTCTTTTTATAGTCCTTTGACTCGTATTTATTAAATGAAGCCAGAAAAGCTGTTTCCGACAGTACTTCAGCTTTTCCAGTTTACGCTTAGACGGAACCCAGTCAAAACAATGGCCACGAGAAGGGCACGAGTCGTCATTCGGCTTATCCCGGAATAACACGAGTTGGTCACGAATGCGTAATGTTATCAATATTTGACGTCATGAACAATGGATGACGTCAGATGGTATTGTTCTAAACAATACAATAGTCTGGTGTCATACGGCCATAACTGACCATTTAGCATTGAAAATCGCTATAATGCAAAGTTCCATACACATATATAAGGTATTTACCCGTATAAAATTATGAGAATGTTCCCCGTGATATAAAAAAGACATGTAATCACATTTATTTTGATACATATGAATGGCCCATTATAACCAGGAAATATGTTGCTAATATGTTTACTAATTAAATTGTAGTAACAGCCGCTTATCACCACGGGGATGTTGGACGGTGAGAAACGCGCGACAATCGTCATCCCCGGAATAGTACGGATTTCACCGAGTTGTACCGGAAGTGAGCAACTCGACAAAATGGCGATCACCACTGGGTGGTCGTTTGCAGCATTGGCTGCTTGTTTTTTGCTCTTTACCTGGAAGGATTTGACACAGTCACAAGAAATTAATATAAATGCTCACAAGGACATCAAGGCCCCCAAACTTGCGCAGTTTGCGGGCCCCACTATAAGATTTATGTTCTGGTATGTGCGTTCTGAGCAATGTAGACAATGCAGTGCAAGTCATGGCTTCATTTCGTGATAAGACAAACGTGTTGCGCAGTATTAGAATATTTGTGTTTGATTATGTGGTGCTATTGTAGAATCTGTTTGCCACCCAGTAGTATCAAGAAGAATTACGTCCACATAATAGAGAATCTACATATTTACTTCTATTGTGTACATAATACAGTTAGGATGCTAGGGGTAGTTATGTTTTTTGTCTGCCCCAATTTTAATTTAATACTTGGATCGTTGAAAGGAAAACAGTGGCAAACCTATTCTTTAGCCAAAATATTTGCATGACCTATAATAGGCACAGTCAATAATCATCATTAAAATCTGTCCCTTTCTATTATAAATTCCTTATTTAGAAGACATGGATATTTCTGTGTGTCAGTTTCTGCAAATGTATTTAAGTCTGGGAGCACCTTTAGAATACAGTACCACACTTTCTTGTGATGACGATCTCTGTCGTTGGTCACATTTCTCAAAGATAACACACTGCATTTTAGAAAATGTATTAAGTTCTGATAAGTAAATAGTCATGTGCATTGATGTGTGTTGCCGGTGTTCTTTACATTGAAGAATCTACAATGAGTTGTTGTTTGTGTTATAGAATATATGTCAAATACAAGCATTCTTTTATTTAATTCCCATTCATATATCGCACCTCTTTTATATTTACGCTTTGTAATGTGTTTATTCATGTATAACCTTTGTGTTGCAGTTATTCCTGAGGGTACCGGAAAGTGTTTGACCAGTATGCTCAAGCACTTCACGACCGCTTCCCTAGTCTGACGGTTGTTGGCGACAATTACCCTCCGCCACCCGTCAAGGCTATGCTTGCTCAGTTCTTTTCTATCTTTAAACTTGTCCTCATTGGTCTGGTTGTCTCTGGATACAATCCTTTCCCTCTCCTCAACATTGAAACCCCTGCCGCCTACAGATGGGCAACGGAAAATAAGGTGAGACATTTGGCCTTGAGGTAATGAATCTTATGAAAAAAAGTAGTCTGGAAAGCAGCTTCTGTATTTTCGGAGCACCTTTAGAATACAGTACCACAACTTCTCGTGAGGACGATCTCTGCTGTAGGTCACATGTCACAAGACAAGCAACCAGTTTTAGTGAGAATCCGTCGGACGCGAACCTGTGACCTTCGGATTGTTAGCCTGACAGCTAACTGACTGAGCTACGTCCACACTGTTAAACTTAGTGCAAATTTACCTAGTCATGTCTATGACGTTACGGAACTGAACGAAAAGGGTCGAATAGGTGACAGACACTTACAAAGGTTACGGGTAGGCATGGTGTCTCGTGACTTTAGTCTACGCACACTTACGAATGATCCCGATGCCATTTGGCACACTCGTCCCATTCCGTAATCTACAAGATACCGAGTGGTGAGGGATGAGCCGATATGCCGAGAATTGAAAACGGCTCCAGGCGTCAGGCGACGAACTTGCGAGTGCGCATGAATGATATGGTATTTAATAAATCGTCGGGTGATTTTTGTGACAGAAAAGTGTGGAAGGGAACACTGTAAGGATGATGTGGATAATAGTAAGGAACGAGGGAGGCGTGTGCATGGCTAGTGATGACACAACGGTGAGTTCGCTTTTGAATCAGTACTGAAAAATGTAGCCGGTGAAAGTGGCTTGTGTGAATGTTTCAGGACAGTTTCCAGTAGCCAAAATATTGGACACAAAACCATTTCATCCTTTTTACTCGACGTTTTTGTGGGAAGAATATAAGGAGCCGCTATATAATCCATAATAGCCACTAAACGAGTACCTAGCCCCTAACCCTAATGATCGTAAAGGGGTGATTGATCGTAAAGGGGATCCAAGGGTTAAGGATAGACTTAGGGTAATCTAATAGCCACTAAATGGGTTCCTAACCCTAATGATCGTAAAGGGGTGATTTATCGTAAAGGGGGTCCAAGGGCTAAGGATAGATTTGGGTGTAACCTACCCTAACACTGGCGACATTTGGATGTGTTCAGCACCACTAAATATCCCTAACAAACTACATTCTTGTGCATAATAATGAAAATTAATGCACCGAAAAAATAATATATGTATATTAGCTCCCATTTATAACCCTTTTAGCCACTTGAATTACGAGAAAAACGAAATAAAAAATATATAAAAAATAAAAGTGCTTTCGTAAACTAGCGCTGGCTATAAAATGCGCCGCCGCAGTCTATATTCAGTAAACAAATATCCAAAACTCTCCACAGCGCTTGGCGTATTCAGTGACATTTCGTGTAGAGATGATAGATCACTGGGAGGAGCTTATGCACACACGATATCCCCTGACGTCACAGGGCATTGTTACGCCGGTGTGACTGGCAACACAATACTACAAATTACGTCATAGAGTAGGATCACGTGTTTGAAAAGTTTGTGGTACTGTATTCTAAAGGTAGGCCGTATTTTCATACACAATGTGAAAATCAGAATTTGCTCTCTCTTTTTCATCTCGCTGATAGCATGTTGGACCCAAAAAATATTTTCTTAAGAAGGGCCCACAGAAGTTGACATGACATATAAACATGATAAAAGATATATATATTTAACATGGGAGTTAAACAAAACTTTTGGTTGATTGCTCCTTTTTTTTTCTTTCTTTGTTTTTTCCACCAGTGGATAGGTATTTTTCCTGTGAAAATATGACTCTTTGCAGGGATGTGAAATATCCGCGGAAACGCGGAAAGTTACGTTTTTTAAAACACTAGTCCTCGGAAAAAATCATCACCCGCGTAAAAATATAATCAAAGATTAAAATAAAAACATCCCGAAAAATATGGTCGCAAATCCGGACAACCGTCTCATATTGTCCTGTTTTCGATCAGAGCTTTCAGCAGCATAGGTTTTCGGACATCATACGTTCTCTATCACGAATATTTGCACTATAACGTGGGGTGTGTCACACAGAAATTGTAAATACTCAGAGTCAGATGATGGCTTGTGTTTAAGATAAAGTTGTCTTTTAGTTGTCTATTAGCCTGTAAGTGAATGATTTGCCTTCTTGATATCTTCAGGAGAAAACACTTGTTATACATAGCATTTACTTTGTGTGTGACAGCGATCGATCAGTGTATCGGGAAGTGGATTTTTGCATCGGTGTATCTCCCCCCCCCCACACACACACACACTTATTGAAATATTCAGCCTGGTATATATATTGCTCCCATTCTATTGCAGATATATGCCTGCCTCATGGTGTTTTTCATTAGCAATGCTGTAGAAGGGCAACTCATTTCTACAGGGGCTTTTGAAGTTTCTTTCAATGGTGAGTTGGAATGTCATGTTTGTCTGATTCCCTTGCAGTACTAATGGATGTCGTTCCATTGTTTGTGTGCAGTTATAGTTATGTCACTGTTCCAGTTGGGTGGTAACAATATAAGAATGATCATAATTGTTGTCACACCATGCCCAGGGCCTGTAGGATTCCATGGAATATCGGTAAACTGCAATATGCTTTTTAAACAATACATATTCTGGTATGTTGGGTTATAATGTGTGTATCGTCTAACCTAACCTCTACACAGAAATTCATTCACAAATGTACCCGTGAAGATCCGGAGTAGAATAGGTCTTCAGCATCCCATTCTTGCCATAAAAGGCGACTATGCTTGTCGTAAGAGGCGACAAACGGACTTGGGTGGTCTGGCTCGCTGACTTTGTTAAAGCATGTCATCAATCCCAATTGCATGGATCGATGCTCATGATATCAACCACTGGATTGTCTTGTCCAGACTCGATTATTTACAGACCACTGTCATAAAGCTGGAATATTGCCGAGTGCGGCGTAAAACAACAAACCAAACCAAAAATAATTCACAAATGATGTTTGTGAAATGGATTGATAAACATAGAAAAAGCAGAAGCGATTTTTCCCTAACATTATTATCTCCCCTGCATCCATGACTTACAAAATGGCAGCAACTGACCATGCTGAGTAATATTTACTTCAGTGTGTAAAACATAGGATCTGCACGTACAAACAGTGTCAATAACTGTGAAACACTTGGACTCACGATATAGTAAACTACATTTATATTACAAACATGCTTATAACATGTGTAACGACCTGACAGATATGGACCCGTGAAGATCCGGGGTAGAATTGGTCTTCAGCAACCCACACTTGCCGTAAAAAGGTGACCAAGCTTGTCGTAAAAGGCGACTAACGGGATCGGGTGGTCAGGCTCGCTGACTTGGTTTATACATGTCATCGGTCCCAAATGCGTGGATCGATGCTCATAGTATTAATCACTGGATTGTCTGGTCCAGGTTTGATTATTTACAGACAGCCATCGTATAGCCGGAATATTGCTGAGGGCTGCGTTAAACAATAGACAAACAAACAATAGTGAACTACGCTTATGGCTAAGTAAAATAAGGGGCCCTTTGAGTTCGTTATGACCATAGTTTACTGTATATCCCAATGTGTATCCCTGTACAGATATCACTGGATTGTGTGGACCAGGCTTGATTATTTACAGACCACCGTTATATTGCTGAAAAAATGTTGTGTGAGGTGTTAAACAACAAACAAAGAAACCTGTATTGCAAAACATTTTTTTGTCAACACTCTGCCCTAATAACCTGCATCACGCCAGGTTTTCATGTCGGGTACGAGGTAGTACTTAAACAGACATGTTCAAAATTGAGGAGGGCAGTAGGACTTTTCTGATCTTTTTTATTGAAAACAAATGTGATGAAGAAGGAGGATTCCAAGTGACATGCCCAGAAGACATTTTTTATTTTCTTTAGCTGAACTGAAATGCAATTACTATAAGGGAGGCATTGCAGACATTAGAGACCCACCTCCTTCCATTGTTCAGAATAACACGAGGCATGGGTGTTCCAGTCATCCAAGGCGCCGTAATTTGCTGTGCAAAGTAGCTACCCTTGGGCACGCCAGAAACATATGATTTTGGATTCGAATCTTGGTTCGCCCTGATTATGTTTCTAGGTTTGTCAGCCCCATACCCGTGCTCGTGGGTTTCACCGACCTGCATCACTTCGAGCATTCCTCCCACATTAAGCTTACATGCCGTGATATAACTGGAATAATGTTAAAAGCTGCGTTAAACCCAACTCACTCAGAATAACACATTGGTAATACATGTTTCTGTTGCTGGTGCAGATGTGCCTGTCTGGTCGAAACTGGAGACAGGACGTATACCTTCCCCATCTGAGATGTTTCAAATGATTGACAATCACATGAGACTGAGCAACAACCAGCAAGTACAGTAGACCTGGGCCTTGTCTAACACGTCCGATGTTTGCCAGGTAAGTACCCCCACTAGCATGTTAACACATTCATTCTCGTGATAGAATTACTCCAGCAATAGGGATTGTAAAATTAGCCGAAGTATATATTGATAGAAAAGACTAAGGTTAGGTACAACATATTGTTTCCCGTTGTCAATATTGAAATCTGAACCGATTCCCAACACTAACTTGCATATCTTTACCTTTGGTGCTTGTAAGGGAGGTAACTGTTGTGATAACATCAAAACATTTTGGTATCATCAGTTTTCACTGGTTTTGCTGTTGTACTTGTAGGGATACAGTTGTGTGTATTTGTCATGGCGGGTGCCATTGTACAAAGCGATCTTAGCGGAAAGGTGATCGTAACTGTCATACCTTAGCATAGAAGAATTTGTCCGGGTTAGAATTTGTCTTCACATCCCATGCTTGTCGTAAAAGGTGACTTACAGGGCAGGTGGTCAGACTCGCTGACTTGGCTGATTCATGTCATTGTATCCCGATTTTGTAGTTTGATGCTCATGATGTCAATCAGTGAATAATCTGGTCCAGACCCGATTTTTTTCTTTCACTCACCCAGAAACTCACCCATCCATCCACTCCCTCACTCACCCACTCACTCTCTCACCCACCAATTCACCCATCAGCCCACTGACTCAAGCACTCACCCCTCACTCACTCTCTCACCCACTCACTCACTCCCCCACTCACTGTTTCAGATGAGCCCACTTTGACTGGAAGCAAGTTGGCGCACTGCTGTCCTGAACTCATGAAGGTCCAAGTTCAAAGCCACCCGTGCTGACTTGGACCGGATCCCTGTCAGAGTACAGCCGTCATCCAATTTCCTCTGCAGTTACTGTTGCTCAGCTGGCAAGAATTGCAACTGTTGGCTACAAGGCTTCTTTCTGTCTATTAGTTCAGACAAGAAGAAATCCATTCATGGTTTGAAATCAGCACTAGAAATTTGTACAAGAGGTAACTGTTTTATGTAATAATTTATGGTGAATTATGCAATTATGTCAAGTATTCTTGTCATACAGAAAGAACTTGTATTATGATGTAATGGATGTGTTTGTTGAATGTTGGCATGTATAAAATGGCAGACTGCTAGCACGTCAATGCTGTTACTGGATTGACGTTTGTCATGTTTGATGGGGCTGTAATGTACTTGAAAATTCTGTATCACTACGTTGACTGAAACATGCTGTGATGTACAAAGTAATCGTAGTAGAGTGAGTGAGTGATCAGTTGAAGGAATTAGACTCCATGCGGATTTTGAATCTGTTATTAATCTTTGTCATTGTAAAACATTAGTAATTTGTCATTGAAATACACCTTGTATTAGTTATGAAGGATTTGCTGGTCGCGAGTTTGAATTCCACAGTGGCACTGGTTATGGCCGTTTGTTTACCATCACTCTGCCCATGATCCTTGGTTTCAGCAGAGCGATAAGTGCCAACCAGTTCGGGCTTTCCCCCCAGAGTAAGCCTGCAGAGACAACGAAATACCATATTTCCTCTATTAGATGTCGGGCCTCTAATAGAAGCCGGGTCAATTGTTCAGTGCAAAAAATAGAAGCCGGGACTCTAATATTAGACGCCGGGTCGATCAATTGAAACAATTAATGATCCCTTTTAGTGAAATGGGGGTATTAATAGAAGCTGGGCCTCTAATTGACGCCGGGTCAAAGACTTGTCCGAAATAAATAGAACGCTGGGCGCCTATTAGAGGAAATACGGTACTGTTCAAAGTGGAGTAAGCCCCAACTCACTCACTCACTCACTCTCCCATTACCAACACTCGCTGTTTGTTACCCTGTCAGTTGATATATATTTGGCAAATATGTCTTCAAGGAAATCTTTTTGTTTAAATTAGTGTGACAATTAAATGTATTGATCCTTTTGAAGGAATATTCTTATGGATATTCCATGTTTAGGTCAGCCCTAATAAATCGTATTTAAAGACATTCATACAGATATTTTCTTACAGGTATGCAGAGGGGTAAAAAGCAAGGGAATTGTATTCAGTTTCTATTAATCATGTTTGAAAGTTCTTTGAGATTGATCCTGTGGCACTTAGCATGCTGGCATGAGGTTAATGATGTATGCATTGTATTCAGATTTTGATTCTATTACACAAGAATAATATTTTGATAGTGTTTTTTTTAAATAGACTGCACTAATGTTGGGTGTCTATTCCTTTTTCTTGGATCCAAATGTTCGCCATTGGGGTGCACAACCTGCACTATCAAAGAAATCAAAATTTGTATTTTTGAGGAGATCTGTATTTAAGAGGATTGACATTTAAGGAGTTTGGTACGATATCCAGAAAAAGTGACTCTGTAATCATGTTGTTCGTTGTGATGTTATATACTGGTTTAATTTACATGTGTATCACAGGTTCTATATTCTGGTGTCCATCCCTGTTTTATGAACAAACTTACTGGTGCCATTTTCAGCTTTTGTCATGGCCTTTAAAACTCACGTTAAATATCACAAAGATTATCAATTATCATCATGTCAATGGCTATGTCTATGGTATATGCAGGGGGCACAGGTGGCCCAGCCCTCTAGGGTGCTGAGATTTGCTTTGCAGAGTTGCGTCCCTTGGGCACGCCAGAAACCTATGATTGTGGGTTCGAATCACGGTTCGCCCCGATTATATTTCTAGGATTGTTAGCACCGTACCCGTGCTCGTGGTAAACGTCGAAGACCTGCATCACTTCGGGCTTTCCTCCCACATAAAGCTGACACGCCGCAATATAACTGGAATACTGTTGAAAGCGGCGTTAAACCCAACTCACTCACTATGATATATGCACAAATTGCACGTCCATATGTTTAAGTATGATGATGTACAGCTATGATTCCAGGCTTGCCTCCTGCTCCACTGGTTTGTCCAGCACATCATGATAGACAGTTGGGACGTCATTGACATTCGCTGAACACATTTTGGGTTGGTGGGTTGCCTAGCGGTTAAAGCATTTGTTTATCACACTGAAGGCTCGGGTTTGATTCCCAGTATGGGTACAATGTGTTAAACCCATTTCCCCCCTGCTGGACATTATTGGAGTATGACTATAAGCAGTAAAAAGAACATACTCTCTAATATCCTTCAAGTAACTTCCCTATCGCGTATCGGGTTGTTGGCAATACATAACCTTGTTGTAAGCATCCTTGATCATCCAGGGTATTGTTACCCTTGGTCCATTTGCTATGAATGTTCTTTAGCTGGAATTAATGTCATTCCTGAGTATAAAGCTGGGCCCAGTTACCCCTACTCCGAGTTGTATTAGAACCAAACAATTGTCATATCGCCACTTGGACGAACAGTCAAATTGAAAAGGACATTTTTGGTATTGTTACAATCAAACCAGACTCAAAACATGGCTAAACTGTATGGTGGTGCATTTGTTTGGATACTTATTGTAATATAACGGCAATAAAATACCCTGGATTAGCGTGGATGCAGTTATCAATGTGGTATATGGAATGGAAGACTTACCAGTCAACCTGTATGTTCAGAAGCAACACAACTAAGCAACAAGACCCCTCCAGTATCTTGCTGTGTGTAACTGTAGGGGGTAGTGGGAGGGGGTTCTTCCATCCAGTCTTTGGGGACTAGGGACCTTCACTCTTGTCAGCCATCATTCCATGCTTTTGTTGTTATATGACCTAGATATTCTGATGTAATATTTCATTTCCCCCCCTCTTGTGAAATATATGTAAATAAAATTTGTGATTTACAGTGTGGTTTAGTCTTGATTTTTCTGTTTTGATATCATGTTGATTTGCATGCTGTTCTTGTCCAGTTTTGTGAAGTATAAGGCAAAAACAAAATAGTCTTGATTCTCAGGCACATCCTGGTTATCAGAAAGTCTGGGGCCCGTTTTCGTTTTTATTTCCATTTCGGAAAAAAAGGTTGATGGTACACGACTGTTTATTTGGTTACGTACTAGTTTGAACAAGCAAACAAAACACACGGCCCACCCGCACTATATTTTCAAAAAATCATTGCCTGAGAACCAATTCTTATATTTTTTTAAGCCTAATATGCCCTGATTGTTAATCAGCTGCCTGTACAATGTGAACGGTGGTACGAGTCCGCATCAAGCAGTGAGGCGTGAAGGTCAGGGGGTTTGATTGTGATATGGTATCCCCAATTCTTAGAGGGTATTCACATATTTTTACCCATCTTTTACTTGACATTTGAGTATTTTGACAATCCCTGTAAAGGATTTAAAGCTATGTGAATGAATCTCCGTGGCTTTGGCTCCCTCTGCGGGAAGCAATGTTTTTTGCATTGTAAGTCGCTATTGCTTTTATTAACCATCAATCAGCGACTGTTTAAGATATATTGACTGGGCACAATCTGCTCTTCAGTTTGAAACGAGTATATCCGTCATTTTATCTAACAGTTCGTTTTATCTAACATTTCTAATATACGTATTAGATTTGTTTCAATGGCGTATCCATAGTTTTTGTTGCATATTTGATACGTTAGTATTTGATTCGTCTGCATATTTCAATTTATTTACATGTATTGGGTATTTTTTGCAAATGCACAGCTTATCACGAGCTCTGGGCCAGTGCGATTAGTAGCAAATGTAGTCTTTGGCAAGTGTAAAGGTTCCTTGTCATCACGACAGTGCCTCAGAGCGGTCATGTAGTCATCAAGAAACAAATGCAGGCCAGTTGTTTAGTGTGGGAAGTAACTCATTTACACGTTATCACTAGTCCCATAAGTCTGTACGCCGAAAACCCGGGTTCGATTCCTCACATGGGTACAATGTGTGAAGCCCATTTCTGGTGTCCCCCACCGTGATATTGCTGGAATATTGCTAAAAGCGGCTTAAATCGTACACGCCCATAAGCGTGTAGGAATGCTGCTATTGGCAGTCTGGCATTGTGATGATAGATGACGTTCGGGAAAGTGCAGGTGTAGGTTTTCATCACAACAGTGTCGAGATGTTCAGTTGTCTTGCACTTGTACCAGGTTTGTTATACACGTGTGGGAGACACTTGAAGATCCGGGGTAGAATAGGTCTTCAGCACCCACTGCTTGCCCTAAAAGGCGACTATGCTTGTCGTAGGAGGCGACGATCGGGTGGTCAGGATCGCTGACTTTGTTGATGCATGTCATCGTATCCCAATTGTGTGGATCGATGCTCATGATGTCAATCGCTGGATTATCATCCAAAAACTGGCTCCCACAGGAGATATCGCTTGGATGAGATCAAGCGATTTCTTACACACCTGTGAGTGAGAAACCCATTTGAGATAACTGGTATCAAACATATGTGTGAGATCAAATTCCAGGCCCGTGATTGGCTACTCCATGGTGATGACCTGGGGTCAGATGATGACGGACTACTTTCCTGAGTGTAATTTATTCATAAGTAGCTCGTGCTTCAGTCGAATGTTCACCTACGTCTGTATTGAACAGCAAGACCGTGTAATTAATAATAAAAGAAACAAACTCGTCTTCGTCTGCGAGTTTGTTTGTTATTATCATCAGTTACATTATCTGTTGTATGGCAACATTATCGTTTTTTCAGAGTGTAAACCCACTGGATGCCACAGCGACACATATGTCCCTTCTCTTCAAACCTCACTTCGAAATCGAATAAAATTCAAAATACATCACACACAATCTTCACAGTTTTGAATTCCCCCTTCTGTTTATCATTTACTGTCATTTTAGGCAATTCAAAATTACTGAAAGTGACTTAAAGTTAGGTACATTGCAAAACTCGCCATTGAAGGCGTTATATAAATGTCTACTGTGTGTTTAGAAATCTAAATATTGGATATTTACTCGAATAATTAAGGTAGAAAAATAGCATATTAGTGATCACGGGTATCACATCACTAATGATAATTCTGAAACGTCGCTGATAAGCCTAGAATCGTTTAGAATGTTTTGGAAAATACGCATACACGAACGCCAAAGTGTACGATCCGCCATATTGGATTGTGTTTACAAAATGCCGGTTATGAGACGCCTATTCGATCAGGTATATTTCAAACTCAGCTGCTATACATGCATCCCTGAATTCCTCATACATTTTCGAAACAATGGATAAATGATCTTTGTCACCAATGCAAATTATCATGCGAAGTAAATTAGGTATTGAAACGAAAACTGTGCTCGGAAAACTGTACTTGCTGAAATGTAAACAAAGCAAAATTCAGATTTTACACTGTGTATCATTTTTGGAGGTACTTTCAAGTAATTGTTGCATACATTGGCTCCATGTTCCATGTTCATAAGAAATCACTGCCAAAAGCCGAGTCGATTGTCCGATCTTTGCTATATCATGAGCATGTGATTTCTGAATCGCTATCATATAGTGATGCGACCAGGTGTCCGCGAAAAGATGAGCGAGTCCTGCACCACCGGTTGCACCCGTGTGTCGTGAGTGTGATTTCTGAAAGCCCCACACCACATCCCCTAGCCAGTTTGGTACACTGCAGGAAGTCACGAATGTAATCTCATCCGTTTACAAGATTAAGCAACAGTACAAACAGCATGATCGTGTTCGCCACAGCGTATATGTACATTTTTCCCGGTCACTTAAATGTTATCTTTTCCTTGATCGTTGAATACTGTCCGTGTGTCCTGAACGATAGGACGAATGCCTTGTGTATCCAAAACCCCATGCCGAAAACACACGGTGACAGATTCAAAGTCACAGCAAAAGAAATGGTCGATGGCGGCGCATCAAGCACACGTATGTTTACTTTATATATTGTAAAAAAATGATTGAAAACATGTCTAAGTTTGCCCACACTTTTATTAAATGTTTTTTGTTTTTTGTGTGTGTGGTTTTTTTTAGCATTTTATTTCCCCTTTTCCCCGTTACATGAGGAGGATGGCCATCCAGGGCAATGGTCACCCTCACATTCTGAAGACGATGTATGTATACATTTGGGGAAAATTAAATACAATTATTGGAAATGGTGCCAAGGTGATTTTTAAGAAATATAACAAAACATACACACAGTCAAGCATTCAAAATATTATTCAAACACTGATCCTGGCAAGAAACAAATATGAGAAAGAGATACATATGTTATTGCTGCTCTGCTTCTTCAAACAATATGTGATAAAAGATCCATGATTTATTAAATGTAGCTACATTACCATTTGTAAAGGCTATATTCTTCTCAATTTTGTATCTCAGACTAACATCTTTTTGAAATATTGCGAAGCAAAGATTTGTTTTTTTGAATCTGCAAAAATATATAAAAGATTTAGCTATTAAAATAAGAAGATCAAAAACTTTGTCAGTAACAATATTTTCTTTAACACCAAATAAAACAAGTTCAGCACTTAATTTCATATGATGTTTATGGCTACATTTATTTATCCAATCTAAGAAGGTTTTCCAAAATACTTGTACAAGTTCACATTCCCAAAAAATGTGTACAATAGTTTCATCATAACATTTGCAAAAAGAACAAAGCGTGGTATCAGAAATACTCATTTTAAACAACAAAGAATTAGTTGCAAGTATTCTATGTATGATTCGATACTGAAACCAACGCAATTTCACCTCTTGTGTTGCTTTAGAAGGCTTAATACAAATAATATTCCAATTCAATTTTCCAAACTGTAACTCCCACTTTTCCTGGCCTCTTGTTTTCATATCAACAAATACAAGAAGATTATAAATATATTTAGAGCCTGTCCTTTGAGAGAAGATCTTTTTAATAGCACAGCGATGTTCTTCTACAGAGTCAGTAGGGAGTTAGGTCAAATTCAAACTGGTCACATATCTCTTAATACCACAAACAATACCATAAAAAGCCAAGAAAGTAGATTTTATCTTGTACATGTCTTTGAATTCTTCAAAAGATATGAATTCATGATTATGATTTACAATGTCTTCTATTTGGGTGATACCTTTATCAACCCAATCTTTCAAGAATATTGGTAATTTATTAACTTTGATGTTGCGATTGAAAAAAATAGGTTCAGCTAAAAAACTGCTGAAAGTATCTGGTACATTCTTCTTATCAAAATCTACAAAAGCTTCATAACAGTTTTTCCAAAATAGATTATAGAACAAACACAGTTTCTTTCTTTTATTAAATGTTAATGTCTTGAGAGATCGTAAGTCCACAGGTGCAGATGGTCTCCCAACAGAATATATTAAAGAATCTACTATGTTATTACCACATACAGTAAAATACCTTTATAACGAACATGCTTTTAACGAACGGACGGATATTACGAACTTAGGTTAGTGGTCAATTTGAGTTCGTTATAACCGTAGTTTACCGTATTGTTTGTTTGTTGTTTAACGCCACACTCAGCAATATTACAGCTATATGACGGCGGTCTGTAAATAAATGAGTCTAACCTAGACAATCCAGTGATTGACATCATGAGCATCGATCTACGCAGTTGGGATGCGATGACATGTGTTTACCAAGTCAGCGAGCCATCCCGTGTTGTTATACTGAGTGCTGGGGCGAATCATCAAATAATCGGGCCAAAACTTGATCTATAATCACTAGCAGGGACGCACATTAGTCTGCATCATTTACTACACTGGTGGAATATAGGAATGGTACCTGAAAAATTACCGTGGTATCTCTGTTAATTACTTTGGGAAAGGTTTTTACATTTTATTTTGAGGGTAGAATGAGAACTTGGATGGCAGTAAATATGCTTACTCATAAATCGCAGGCTGGATTCAAGAATAATTACATTATAATTATTCCACAATAAGCAATATTTTTAC